GACCAAAGATACTCACCAAAGTAGGATGTAGAACATCGTCTTTGTGGACTGTGTTCATGTTAGTTGACCATGGTTATCCCCTGATTATATGGTCCAGCAATTCATTGCCTCAAGGTGTTTGATAATATCAGAAGTTTTCATATTTTGTCCTCTGGGTGCTCCATCACACTCATAGGTGTATTTACAGCAAAGGCAAATAAATACCCAGGTGCAAATATCTTTCCCTCTGAAAGCTTTATATGTTTAGGGGTATACTCCTGCTCTCCCTCTCATCCCCATTCAGCCTCTGTCTTTGTCCCTGTATCTACCCGCAGAACACTGTTGTTCCAGGGTTGGGTATGTAGTAGCATTTACTCTTTAACCCTTGTGTACCACTCTGTATCTTCTACCTGTCTTCAGCATTCTTCTAGCAACCTCCCTCTTCTTGCCCTCCCATCACCTGAGTTACCATGTGCCTACCCTCTAGCCAGTGAAAATTTCCATTCTCTTTTCATTACATTTTCCATGAACTTTTTGAAGTGCCTCTCGTATGTTACCGAGAGAATAAATTGTAAAAGCATGAAATCATTAAATGACAGCAAACAAGGAATGTCAGGACAATTTTGGAAACTGTAAAACAGTTAAGTAAACAGCATACAACTTAGCAGACCAGAGAGAGCCCAGTGCCTAATGGGACTGAAGTCAGGAGCCAATCAAGTTAATCTGTGCAGAAGAACTCCTGGGAAGATGCAGGCATTAGAAACACCAGCTGTTTGTGAGGACATGGGTAGGCCTGAAAATAGGAGGCTTGGTTCTGATTCTTGTCTTTGAATATAAGCAGACAGCTCAATGACCAGACATTTGTTGAAAACCATGAAAGATAAGATGAGCTATTATAACATATGCAAATTACTTGTGGGACGCAAAGACAATGAAGTCAGTAGATTAAAAATAAAAATTGAAAACAAATTTTTAAAAATATTTCTTAGAAAACTTCAGCTGTTACGCCATGAGATAAGAACAGGGTGCTGTAGAAAAACGAGATGGCTCCCAGCTACCACTACCAACTGCTCTGAAAGGAATCACATTAGAAAGTCCTGGAGAGAGTGGGAGGAAATGAGGAACAATACCGGAAGCCATCAGAAAGACCAGGTGATGAGACAGATGGAACCACCTGAGACTCTGACCCCTCGTCACTCCTCAGCCCCATAAATGAATGACTCAGCTTCCACCAAACAATAGCAGGTCTTTTCGGGGACGGTAACACTGGGGAGGTAGGCACACCTTAGAACACCTACCATTTGAGGTCAAAAGGGGCAGCATTTACCCCGACCAGGTTCAGAAGGGTTAAGAAAGAGAAGGAGTGGAGACAGGAAACACAGGAAGTGGGGTGCCATCCTAAGGATTATAATTAATGAGAGGAAACAATGGGATCAAGTGTTGAATGGGAAATGATCTGCTATGTAAACCTTTACCCAACTCACAATAAAAAGTTTAAAAAAAGAACAGTGCTATTAAATTTTTTTTTCAAAGAATAAAAACATGTTCTTAGAACATTTATGACAGCTGAAGTCAATCCACTAGAGAGGGATTCAAAGAAAAAGGTCCTGTCTCTGAAAGTAGAACAAAGGCATAAAGAAATAATAAAGGAGAAAATAGTTCTAAAATCGGGAACGGTTGTAGAAGAGCCCATGTAGCTGGTGCCTGAATAACAGGCGGTGAGAGTGAGGAAGGGGGTGGGGGACAGGGTAGCTGTTGAGAAACTGCTCAAAACAGGGTTTAGGGAAGTTTCCCTGAAGGCTGTTAGGTGAAAAGGGTCCTTCCATTGCCCAGTGTGAGTGAGTGACTACATAATACAGGGCGTATCACGAGAGTGAAATTTGAGCATCTCAGTGATGACAAAAGGCTTTGTTGAAAAACACAAGACAAGGAGAAAATCTTCTGAGTAGCTAGATGTTCTGGCATATCTGTTAATAGGCTAAAAGAATTCCCAATTGCAGCGACTAAGCTCAGTGTAAAAACGTATTTCAAGAAGGAAGGTGAAAAGAAAAGTTCCAAACAAGCAAAGCTGAGGATCTTCGCTGCAGGAACTCATAAAAAGGTACCTAAGGGAGCTTCAGAAAGCCCATGGGAAAATAAGATTAAACAATAATGAAATATTCCCGTGAACTTTTTGAAGCTCCCTTGTGGGAGCTTGACTGTTTAACAGTGCAGCTTAATTAGAGTTCTGGTGATGCTGTGGGTCAGGCATTGCACTGTTAAACCACAAGGTAGGCAGTTCAAACCCACTAGCCTCCTCTCCAGGAGACAGATGGGATCATCAGTTTTACAATCAGCAAATTGTATACTTTGCTCGATCTCAGTGATTGAGATTCCCTCAGAGCAACGACAGCTGTCTAGTCCCCTCCCTCCCTGTGGTGCCTTCCCTTCCATCCCACTTCCCATACTTTCTCTACTTCGTCCCTAGGTAAATGTCGCCCATTTGATTTGGAATGCTTGACCGTTCCATGGTGAACATTAAAAAAAGAACAGTGTATGAGTAATCCCAAAGGACTGCCTGCCTGTCCAGGTGTCTTCAAAACCGTGCCAGGACTCAATTCTGATATAACTGGGCTTAATTCTAGAACATTAATAAATACTCACGACTTACTTGCTGAAGGAGCTCTGGTAGCGTAGTGGTTACTAATCGGGCTGCAAACCGCAAGGTCAGCAGTTTGAAACTACCAGCTGTTCCACAGGAGAAAGATGAGGCTTTCTGCTCCTGTAAAGATTTACAGCCTCAGAAACCCTATACAGGGTCGCTATGAGTCGGAACCCACTCCACGGCAAAGAACCACCACCACCACCACCACTTACTTGCTGTCTTCTTTCTTGCCTTCATTTGGAGTTTTTTTTTTTCAGTCCTTCCTATTAACTTTAATTTATACACTTTTACTCTTTTAGTGCCTACTCTAGACTATAACAAGCATCCTGGACTTAAAATCTATCATTACCATCATCCCAGATAACATAAGAACTTTACATTCTTACCATCATCCCAGATAACATAAGAACTTTACATTCTTACCATCATCCCAGAAAGCATAAGAACTTCAGAACACTGAACCCATTTATCTCGTTCCTGGCTTATATGTTATTGTTATCATGTGTTTTAATATAGATACATAAGTACACACACACATAAGTATACTTATACTGATAAGATTATCAGTTACCAAAAAAATCCCAAACCCATTGTCATCGAATTGATTCCAACGCATAGTGACCCTGTATAGGGCTTCCATGATTGTAAATCTTTACAGGAGCTTACAGCCTCATCTTTCTCCCACAGAGTAAAGAGGCAGGTTTGAACTGTCGGCCTTGCATTTGCAGCCCAATGCTTAACCCCTAGAGCCACTGGGATTCCTTCTACTAAAGACAGAAAGAATCCCGTTGAACTCTAGTTACTCGGTTTGTTTTTCACGGTGGTGTGGGTTCGCAGTTCTAGAGCTACTTTATTTTCATATTGATCAGATGAAGTAAATCTATTCTGATTAATCAGAGCTAGGTTTCTGGGTGAGTGCGCCACTGAATGCTACGTGTTGAACTGGAGTTGCAGGTATCTGTGTGAAAGTGTAGTTTGAATCAGAAGCGTGGATGTCTTCCTAGTTTGCCTACTAGGAGCAGCGGTGCCAGTGGCAGTGAACAGAGCAGAACCCAGGTCTGGCTTTCTCAGTCCTGTTCTCCACAGAAAGGTGCAGAGGCCCCTTAGAGAAAGAGCTGGTACCGACACTGGGGCTGGGAGGATATCAGATGGACTGTGCAGCCCCAGAAATGATGTGATCAGAAGATGATGGGATCATGCCAATAGGACACAGTTTGAAGGAGCTCCTACTGGTTAGGTCTAGACCAATCTGAGCATCAACGTAAACACTAATGGAAATCAATTACAAAGTGTTGAATAAAATGCAAGTCTGTAAGGCAAAACTGATAAGTGAATGAATGAATACATGCATTAACAAGGGAGAAGTAAAGTTCTTCATTACAGAATGCCAGCTATGAGATAGAAAGAATGGTGGACTCAGAAATTCACTGATAACAGGCAAGTTTGAATGGAAACAGGATATTTACATTGTCCTGATATATCTATGACAAAGAGGCAATAGAAACTTCTAAGGGAGAAGCTTGACAGATGCCACCTTGACCAAGTGATCAAAGTGACCCTCAGCAGTATTGGAGCAGGAGGTCCCTACTGTGCCATTGGTTCCACACTCAGCCTGTGAGGACACAGCAGACGAACCCAGAGTGAGGGGCATTCTTGGTGAAAACGCCCCGGCTCTTCAAAAGCATGTTAGGGTTGCAAACAATAGAGAGTGGCCAAAAAACTATTACAGATTAAAGTAGACTAAAGAGACATAAGAACCAACTACAACACGGAGTCCTGGATTTGTCAAAGTTTTCTTTCACTGAAAAGGACATTATTGAACAGTTGGCAAATATTTGAATAAGGTCTATAGGTAGGTAAGATGTAATCATAGTATTGTATTTTTTGGGTTTTATCATTGCACTGTGACTGTGTAGGAAAATACCCATGTTTTTAGGAAACACACATGGATCTAAGTTCTTTCCCAGGCTGTCAGAGGGGCATGGAAAGTTGTATGTGAGGAGAGAGAACACAGATTGCAGGACCACCACCACACACACACACACAGAGGTCACACCCCCTCTCCTCAGTCAGGCACCTGTCAGCAGTAAGTCTCGACTGGGGTGGCTTCAAACGTTCTGAGGGTGAGGACTGTCTGTGTGTTCTAGGCTCTTCCCCCTAGCAGGACTTGGGGATGTAAACACCAGGCTCAGCGTCTATTAGAGCAGGTCCTCCCACCTTGTTTTTCTCCTTCAAAAATATCTTGGCTATTTTGGGCATTTTTAATTTCCTTTTAGATTTTGTAGAATTGACTTGTTAAGTTCTCCAGTTGAACAGAGGAATGGTTTCCGTACTTGGCTGTACGTACGTACCTTTAGCTGCGTTGTTTGTCTTGCAGCTTTTCAGAAGAGCTGGTAGATGAAGCCCTGGAGTCGGTGGCTGCTGAACTTCAGGATATGTGTGAAGATTATGCCGAAGCTGTGTTCACCTCTGAATTCTTAGAGGCTGGTACTTGAAGGCCCGTCGTGTCACACTGGAGAAGGGTACTGCCACCCTCTGTGTCCCCGCAGGAAATCTTTCTCCTCAGCTGCCTATCCAGGCCCAGAAGGTACTGCCCACTGAGAAGGAAGGCAATGCCAGTGGTGGCTCCTCACACTGCATTTCCAGTCGTCATGGCAATAGTGCTGGGAGTTTATGATGGAATGTGTTATATTTATCAGTGCCCGGAAACATTGTGAATCGATTAGGACAATATAGCATTTTCTGACTTGTATGATTTTCCTATCGAAATATTATGTTTGTTCTTCTGACTCCGTTTGGTGATCAGAATACATTGAAAAGTAACAGAAAAACATTTAACCTGAAATAAAAAAAGTATGTTTAACACCGGGATTCAGATTGCTGTTGAACCCATGTGTAGCAATGATGCCAACAAAAGTCCAGTGCCTACTTGGTCCTATTGCCAGACTCATGTGTCTGTGTTCAGCAATTTCCTGTAAGGACAGCTGTCTCCATCTCTTAGGCTTCAGACCTATGCAGGGCCCCGAGTTTGGCTTAACTGCCCAGCTCCTCACTACTGCCACTCACTACAAACAGGAATCCACTCATTCATTATCAGTGCACAATGGCAAACACATTTCTCGACCGTTCAATCGCTAGGTGGTTTTTCACAATTTTAATTACCCCAAGTCTTCTCTTGCTATGGGTTGACATACTCAGATATAGTAAAAAAAATCTCTCTGAATTCAGAGGAAGTCTGAGGACATAGGAGAGGACCAGCACGTCTCCGTGCCTCATCTCTGATGAAGTCCCAAGTGTCTGCCTACCTATTTGCATCCTACAAAAGCACACTTTGTGTGGGAGAAGCAAATAGATCTGAATGGTGACTGGTGGGTCTCCCCAGAGAAGTGAAGAAACTTAACCCTAACACTTTGGTCTTCGAGTAGCTTACATTCATATTTTACCAGGAGATAAGCTATGTTTTCAGAAACTCTGAATTCAGAACAAGAAAAGAAATGTGCACCAACATCAGGCCACTGCCTGGGAACACTTCCGCTCAGTTTTGACCTCAGGCTTGACGAAAGAGAAGTGGAGGATGAGTGACGCAGGACACGGGTGACGTGGGACCCGCCCCGTGGAGCGCTGTGCACCTTGGTGTGGCACTTTTCATATTGTCATCTGGACTCTCTCTCTGAAGCACACCTATTTCAAGTGACCATTTAAGCTGCTCGAGCGCACTGAGTCGTGCAAAATTGATTTTCCTTTCATGGTAATATTTTCCTGCTTAACTGTGTATAATCTCAGATTTGATAAAGACTTCAAGGGAAAGCGAAGGCCTTTAACTGTTGACATTAAGTATGTGCACTTAAATTGATAAGCGTGCCTGTCATTAATAGTAATTTTGTGTGGCAGTTTTTACTGTGCCGATTTGTTGTGTGAATGTTGTTTTTTTTTTTTTTTTTTAAATAAACTCAATATTTTAAAGCATCTGGATGCCTATTTGAAATAATGCACATCTCCTTTTTTTCCCCACAGGCCAAGTGAAATGTGACCTACAGAAAACACTTGAGAATACTTTAGTTCTGAAATGAACATAGCAGCTTATTTGCCACCACTACTCTCAGGAAAAAATAAATGATAATAAAAGCTAACATTTATTGAGCACATACTATGTGCCGGGCATTGCTCCAAGTGCTTCCCATGTATTCACTTACTTAACCCTCACATCTGTATTGTTACAACAGTTCACAGATGAGGACCCCGAGGCACAGACAGGGGAGGTAGCTTGAGGTAACAAGCCTGTACTCAGCAAAGCTATGATCATGGATTGACTTATTTCCGTAAACCAGTTGCGACCGTTTTTGTTTTTTCCCAGTTCATGGGGCTACATTTCCCCTGCATCCTTGCTTGGACCCCCACCCAGTGTGTCCTAGACTCTGTCCTCTCCCCAAGCACCTCCTGCTGTGCCCTTCCCGGTCTTTTTCTTACGGGTCCCACCTGGTGAATACCCATCTCTGACTCACATGGCTGGGGTTTCTACTGACCTCCCAGCCTCAGTGAGCCTCCACTGCCAAAGCCTTCTCCAAGATTCACAAGCACACTGCAAGAAAGAAAAGGACTTCTGTGTGAAAATAGAAGTTGGGTCTGGTATATAGCTTTGCAGCCATCCTGGGCCTTGAGGGTTTCCATTCTCTAAGAACAAGAGCGGGCATGTGTAAGTCAGACTGCTGAAGTTGTTGTTAGGTGCCCCCGAGTTGGCTCCCACTCATAGTGACCCCTGAACAGCAGCATGAAACACCGCCCAGTCTTGCACTCCCCTCATTCTTCCCAGGTCCATGAGTCTTCAGACACAGGGAGGGGCCTGTGTTGGTTATTTTTGTGTTGCCTTGTTGATACAGACGCAGAAACTCTCCAGTATGTTGTTAGTACTCCATTAAGGGTTTGCTTATTTACCTACTTGCCTCCGGTCTGTTCAGCCTCTTGTGGGCAGGGACTCTGACTTGTATGTAGTTAGTGCTCACTAAAATTGTTTTTTTTTTTTTTTTTAATTAATGAAAGAAGGAAGACTGGCTCACTTTTTCAGTCTAAGGTTGTGTGTATATGTGTATGTAATATCGACTCTATGGCCACAAAAAAAAATCTCTGTTTATCTTTTATGACCCTAAAATAGATTGCCATATGTGACCGAACTGTAGATCCCCGTCTCTGAGGTACTAATGCAGTAGGAACCCTAATTCAGAATGCCAAGAAGTTGCCCCCACCTATGGCAGGAGGAGCCTCTCCCCCCACACCTGAAAGTTAGGGGAGCCATAGAAATGAGTCTTAACACATCCTCTGTATCCTCAGTTGTCTCAGGAATGTGGTCCCATCTCCTTATGCCTATTGATGCTAGGGTCAGGAAGTGCGTGGCTCGCAGGAGAGGAGAAGGTGGAGGTGTCTCAGTTATTCTCCAGTGGCAGGACATAATGGGACCTATCCTTGAACACACCTGCTTTCCTACGTCCCTGAAGGAAAGGGTGAGTAGGTGTGTAGAGGTGGAGACTGCAGGAAGGAGGTACAGACAGAGCAGCTGTGGGCCTGAAGAACAGGAGGAGGGGTCTGGGTGAAACCCTCAGCCTCCCCGCTCCAGAGCCAAGAAGTTACCTCTTTTCTGCAGCACAGTGTAGGTTTCTGGGAGGAAGTCTCTGATTAGCAGCTTGAGGCCATAAGGAAAATTCTAGCTGATGCATTGGAGGAGTCTGCATCCCCACAGATTCGTCATCCCATAAGCATGCCCTTGGGAAGTGCCAGCTGGCAAGAGAACTGGTGGTTAGGGGGCTCCTCTCTATATGTCTTCATAAACATTGGCCTTCTCCCATTTGGCTCTTTGTTGGTTCAAAGCAGAGATTCCTGAAGTGGCATGTCTGTTAGTTGCTTGGGCTGGAAGGGCCTGCAGCAGCCATCCTGTGTGGTCCTTCATGTTCTCAGTATGGGTCACACCCTGCCTTGGAACTCACAGATCTGATATCCAGATATTAGGAACTCTGGTAGCTTAATGGATTACAAGCTGGGCTGCTAACTGCAAGGTCTGCAGTTCAAATCTACCAGCAGCTCTATGGGAGAAAAATGAGACTTTCTGGTCCCATAAAGATTTACAACCTCAGAAATCCAATAGGGTCACTTGAGTTAGATCTGACTCAATGGCACACAACCACCGCTACCACCGGTGTGTTACTGTATAAGGCCTTCCCTGTACACCTTCACTCTAGTAACTAGGTCTCCCTCCTGCCAACCTGTCCAGGCCTGTATCCTGTAATATGGGACCCTGCTTTGCTCTCACCTGTCTTTTCTGAACCTCACCCTGTGATGGAGAGCCTGGTGCTACGTCCTCCCAAGACTTCCCCAGACCCCGAAGCCCCTTCTAGAGTGCCCTTAGCTGTTCCTGTGCTCCATCTGTCTGGGAATCCTCATTGAATCAAATCTCGCCATTGTCTCTCTCTGGCCCTGATCTACCTATCATCCAGCCAAGTGGACTCCCTTCCATGTCCTGCTGCAGGTGGTTAACCGAGACACCTACCTCTTCTCCCCTACCTCCCCTCCCTGCCCCCCTCCAGCCCAGCTGCTCCCTTCTCTGGGCCCAGAGAAGGTATTGACTCTCCATGATGCCTCAGATTCTTCCTGACCCCTACTGGTGCTCATCACAGCAAGGCTTCAGGTGATGTCATTCATTTCCCATGACTCTCCTGGCTCAAAGTGTTCTCACCCCTCTATCCTCTAATGCTAAAACCTTAAAACCCTTAAGCCCTCCCTTCTGAAACGCCCTCTCCCTAGCCTTCTCTCCCGGTCACTGTGGGGTCAGAACTTTCACTGCAGCCCTCCACCTCTGCCCGTTTCTGCTCTTGAACGCCCCTCTTGGGGTCTCCTGTTACTTTACTCTTTGCCGTCCTCCTCCAGCAGCCTTCGTCACTGCCCTTTCTCAGAACCTAGACATGCATTACCCTTCCCATCCAGCTCTGTCTTCTCATTAGGTCTTGGTGCCAGGTCAGCTTGAGACCTCTCCCACTCCTGGGTTACAGAAGGTCTCTGGACCTGAGTCAAGAAGCCCACTGTACATTCCTGTCCCCTGCTGGAGTTGGGTCCTCAGTGCCCTGATTTTATACTCATGCTTGGGCCACTTGCATGGGGATGGGCAAATCCCAGGGAGTTATCCAGCTCTGCAAGGCTGTGGCCAGGAGGGGCCAGTATATGCAGATCCCAGACTGGTGGGCTTTCCATCCCCAGAGCTCCTGGGCCCTTTGCTTAATGAGGACCTAGGAGGATGAAAGCAGATGCTGCCTCCTGTGGAGTATTGGGAGACCGAGGGTCGGAGAGACACGGAGGTAAGCGCCACCAGAGCACGCATAGCCACACTCTTGCCATGGCCCAAAGGAGCTGGACAGGAGCCAACCTCAGAGACGAGGCTCTCCTTAGCCATAAGTGTCCCACACACCACTCTCGGAGAGGCCCCTGCAGGCCCCCCAAGAGTTCTACTGATTCTTTAGATGTAGCAACATCAAATATCTACCTAGAACTTGAAAGCTTACAAACTGCCTTTAAATCAGTGCTCTCTTTAGGCGATAGTAGCTTTGTCTGCCAGCAGTAATTTGGGGTGGTGGTGAATCGGAGTTAGGGCTGGCCACAGCCTGCATGAAAATTCTGGGTGACCACTTCAGTTCCCTA